ACCAAACTTCAGACAGGCATGTATATGTGCTTTCTTGAGCAGGGGGACCTTGCGGGTGCTGCAGGATTTCAGTCCTTCACGGTGAAGTGTGTTACCAATTGTTTTCTTGGTGACTATGGTTCCAGCTGCCTTGAGATCATTGACAAGATCCTCCCGTGTAGTTCTGGGCTGATTCCTCACCGTTCTCATGATCATTGCAACTCCACAAGGTGAGATCTTGCATGGAGCCCCAGGCCGAGGGAGATTGACAGTTATTTTGTGTTTCTTCCATTTGCGAATAATCACACCAACTGTTGTCACCTTCTCACCAAGCTGCTTGGCAATGGTCTTGTAGCCCATTCCAGCCTTGTGTAGGTCTACAATCTTGTCCCTGACATCCTTGGAGAGCTCTTTGGTCTTGGCCATGGTGGAGAGTTTGGAATCTGATTGATTGCTTCTGTGTTTATACAGGTAACAAGCTGAGATTAGAAGCACTCCCTTTAAGAGTGTGCTCCTAATCTCAGCTCGTTACCTGTATAAAAGACACCTGGGAGCCAGAAATCTTTCTGATTGAGAGGGGGTCAAATACTTATTTCCCTCATTAAAATGCAAATCAATTTATAACATTTTTGACATGCGTTTTTCTGGATTTTGTTGTTGTTATTCTGTCTCTCACTGTTCAAATAAACCTACTATTAAAATTATAGACTGATCATTTCTTTGTCAGTGGGCAAACGTACAAAATCAGCAGGGGATCAAATTCTTTTTTCCCCTCACTATACATAAAGAACATCTGTCCATATGGTGGTGGTAGTTTTATGATAGGGGAATTCAACAACACATTTATTGTCGGTTTGATTAGGGGGCTTGTGTTTGGTTGCCTTGCTAGTGTTGAGTATCACGCATGTCTCCTAAATCCTATAAATTTGATTTAAATTCTGTTTACATTATTTTTTCCAGCACAACTTCCGAGACAGGTGAGTGGCACATAGCGGGATAGGCGGCTCGGACAGACAACCAACGCGGACGCGTAGGACCATAGCGTTATGTGGTTCGTGCGCAAATAATTTTGAAAGTCTAGTTTCATGAAACCAATATTTCCCAAATAATTTGCTTGAATTTGGGATGCAGGAATTTACAAGGCTGGGTTTTCAGCCCACATTACATTGAGCTTGTTTTTTTTGCAATGTCACCAGAAGATGTATGGGATTCATTAATAATGTTCCAGGGTTTAACGAAATCTGCTTCCCCCCGTGGCAGCTTGCGGTTCGTGTAAATAAGACGTCTCAATGGATTTGCCCAGCCTTGAGTAGTGTCATCCTAAGCAGTCCACTTTCACTACCGTCCTGGCAGCCCAAGTTCAGCTACCTCGTCATGCGCAACGCTTGTGTGACCAGATACTTTACAGACGTGGTCTAGATCTCCACAAGGTCATCTCGAGCTGAAATGAGGGTGCGTTCATCAACAGCACGAGTTGACGTCAGGCAATGTGCAGACACAGATGGGTCTCTTGCGGCGAGTGGCCCCACCTCCTGTCTCTCCCAATGCCTTGCCACCGTCTCTGCAAGGCACAAGTCAGGAGTGTATTGGGGACTGCTCGGCACTTGCCTGGATGGGTACATAGTTTGAACAACACCGAAGAATGCTCGACACCATCCAGGACAGAGTAGCCCACTTGATAGACACCTCGATAAGCCGTGTGAATATCTACCCCCTCCATCACCTGCTTCTGAAAAGGAACCTAATAGCTCAGTGGGCTTTACCTGGTAAGATAAAAAAAGTATTTGAGTTTTATTTGTATTGATAAATATTTTTTATTTATTTGTTTGCCTTTCCTATACTTTGCACTCCTATCTTGTTTTGTATTGTTTGTTGTAACGTTCTGATCTGCCCCTACTGGGCATCTGTGCAAAAGTGCTTTATAGCTCATCAGATTCCTCTAGTATAGATAAATATTCAGATTTTAATTCTGATGTACAATCTATAGGATGCCCTGCAGCAACTCTCTGAGGCAACTCCAGCAGCACCTACAGTGATGGAAAAAAGTATTTGATCCCCTGCTGATTTTGTACGTTTGCCCACTGACAAAGAAATGATCAGTCTATAATTTTAATGGTAGGTTTATTTGAACAGTGAGAGACAGAATAACAAAAAATCCAGAAAAACGCATGTCAAAAATGTTATAAGTTGATTTGCATTTTAATGAGGGAAATAAGTATTTGACCCCCTCTCAATCAGAAAGATGTCTGGCTCCCAGGTGTCTTATATACAGGTAACGAGCTGAGATTAGGAGCACACTCTTAAATGGAGTGCTCCTAATCTCAGCTTGATTGATTGCAGAAGCAATCAATCAATCAGATTCCAAACTCTCCACCATGGCCAAAACCAAAGAGCTCTCCAAGGATGTCAGGGACAAGATTGTAGACCTATACAAGGCTGGGATGGGCTACAAGACCATTGCCAAGCATCTTGGTGAGAAGGTGACAACAGTTGGTGCGTTTATTCGCAAATGGAACAAGCACAAAAGAACTGTCAATCTCCCTCGCCCTGGGGCTCCATGCAAGATCTCACCTCGTGGAGTTGCAATGATCATGAGAACGGTGAGGAATCAGCCCAGAACTACACGGGAGGATCTTGTCAATGATCTCAAGGCAGCTGGGACCATAGTCACCAATAAAACAATTGGTAACACACTACGCCGTGAAGGACTGAAATCCTGCAGCGCCCGCAAGGTCCCCCTGCTCAAGAAAGCACATATACATGCCCGTCTGAAGTTTGCCAATGAACATCTGAATGATTCAGAGGATAACTCGGTGAAAGTGTTGTGGTCAGATGAGACCAAAATGGAGCTTTTTGGCATCAACTCAACTCGCTGTGTTTGGAGGAGGAGGAATGCTGCCTATGACCCCAAGAACACCATCCCCACCGTCAAACATGGAGGTGGAAACATTATGCTTTGGGGGTGTTTTTCTGTTAAGGGGACAGGACAACTTTACCGCATAAAAGGGACGATGGACGGGGCCATGCACCGTTAAATCTTGGGTGAGAACCTCCTTCCCTCAGCCAAGGCAACAAAGGAGTGGCTCAAGAAGAAGCACATTAAGGTCCTGGAGTGGCCTAGCCAGTCTCCAGACCTTAATCCCATAGAAAATCTGTGGAGGGAGTTGAAGGTTCGAGTTGCCAAACGTCAGCCTCGACACCTTAATGACTTGGAGAAGATCTGGAAAGAGGAGTCGGACAAAATCCCTCCTGAGATGTGTGCAAACCTGGTGGCCAACTACAAGAAACGTCTGACCTCAGTGATTGCCAACAAGGGTTTTTCCACCAAGTACTAAGTCATGTTTTGCAGAGGGGTCAAATACTTATTTCCCTCATTAAAATGCAAATCAATTTATAACATTTTTGACATGCGTTTTTCTGGATTTTTTTGTTGTTATTCTCTCTCACTGTTCAAATAAACCTACCATTAAAATTATAGACTGATCATTTCTTAGTCAGTGGGCAAACGTACAAAATCAGCAGGGGATAAAATACTTTTTCCCTCACTGTACCCCCAAACCTGCAATCTCCACCATTGAGAAGAACAAGGGCAGCAGCTGCCAAGTGGTGATGATGATGCCAATTATGCCACCGCCTCCTAGTTCCACTCCAAGCCACGCACCGTCCGGAATTGGGGCGTTTATCGCCGTTCCATCATTGCTGGGTCAGAATATGGATTGTCCCTGGCAGATACGGCGTTGTAGGGTGGGAGCCACCCTCATACCAAGGGCTGCAGCAGTCCAAGAAGGCCCACCACCGCCACCACTGCCACCACCTTCTCAGCTCAACTCGGGATGGACGACATGCTGGATTACAGTACCAGCGACCCCCATATCCCGAATAATAAAAATATCAGAACCAGAATATTTATTTATCCTGGAGGAATCCGATGAGCTATAAAGCTCTTTTCTCCCACAGATGTCCAGTATGGGTGGGTAAGAACGTTACAACAACAAACTACAAAAAACATGATAAGAGTGCAAAGTACAAGAAAGGTAAGCATTGCCCAAACACATAAATAAATACAGCGCTAAACCTTCTCCATCCCACCAGGCAAAGCCATGAGGTATTCACTTATTTTTCAGAAGTGACCTCCCCACAAATGATAGCTCAACGAAGTGGCCCATAATTAAGGACATTTCCAGCGCCAAAACAATCTAAACAATCTGAACGCATGTTTCGTTCCATGCGAATCGTATTAGGTTCTTGCCCAACAATGCTTTCGCAAAGAACCTCAAATTGTGAGATGGGATCTTTGAATTTAGTTTTCCTGAGTGTTTCCATCTACGTATTAACTTTCTGAAGTTCTGACGAATGGAGTGTGTAGATGCACCTTTACAAGTGCAGTTGTCTGCAAGCGACCGAATATATCGCGCTGTGTGTGCGCGCACATGCTTTCTTGTATGTTTTGGTATTGCGGTGACATGAATTAGCCGACCATACTGTCAGCTAAGCGACAAGTCTTTGATTCCTGACCATGCATGATGGCTTCAAATGGTATCTGCACCTGGTCTGTGCCTCGCTTGGTGTTGACTAAGCCTCAGATTATATCGTGGATCGAGAAACGGCAGCTATCAAGATACACAAGTTGCCAACCGTTCGTGGAGGCACTGCAGCCAAGTGGTAGAGTAGAGTACAAGGCGGCTTGGTTTCAACATGAAAATGATGTGGGTTCGAATCTACGGCTCGCATTACATGCTCCAGTGTGTCTCCCCTCAGTGACACTTTTAAACGTTCTAGGTTTTATTTCGCAGTAATCACTGTTAACATCACGCTCCCTTCCCTTGTTTATAATGAAATCAGTTGACTACTGGGCCCCCTGACCACTACCGCCGATACTTCCGGGCATCACAGCAGCCTGAACGCTTGCGAACTGCGCTTGCCGCCTGCTGTCTGTCGAGGCTAAGGGTCGATTGTCTGCGTGTGTATGCATGTATGTTGAAGTCCTGTGTGTGTGTGTGTGTGCGCGCATGCGTGTGCAGAAGATGTCGGTGGGAGCAGTGGTGGTGGCAGGTGTCGCCCTGATGTTTGCTCTGCTCATCTCTTCCATTCACCGCATCGATGAGGGCCACGTGGCAGTCTACTACAGGTAACAACACGTTGACATTTCTAGAAGAGTCATCGAGGGCATGTTTACCCCATTGATCGATTATATAAACGGTACGGTTCGTTGGATCACCGAGGTCGCACCCCAATGATTAATAATATGAACGGTACAGCTCGTACCGCATTGGCCGGCTGTCGCCAGCCGCGTGCGAGCTTATTGGGGGGGACCTCGAGACCTTCGCAACCCGAAGAATTTGATGGGTAGAAACCCAGGCAATTTAAATCGGTAACACTGGGTCGGTTCGAGACTAATTTGGGAAACTGAAACGGGGTTGATTAGGAGGGGGGGTGGGCGTCTGTTTGGAACTGTCGAAGGGCGGTAAACGGGACAAAAGGAGGGGGCTCACGGAGATACTTCGGGGGACACGGCCTTGGTTTTGCTTCCTGTGAGTGTCATCGTGTGGCTGCAGAAAATAAGGAGCCCCCCATACCTCAGTTGTACCTCGTTCGCCGTGGACTCCTTGACATTTGCATATCTCGTAAATGCATCTCGGGATGCTTTGCAGGTGACGAAAACTAGTGTTTAGGGTAGGAGGGAGGGGAGGCAGCAAGGCAGGGAATACGTAGGAGAAAGGAGAGAGAGAGCGCTACACTGCGGTACAGCCCAGGACCAAGCCACTGAGGTTCAGCACCAGCAACATGTACTGCCGAGGCAGCAACAAGGAGTAGCGGGGCATCCCCGTGGGGCAGAAACCCTTCGCCAAACGAGTCCCAGGGGCACCATCGTCTCTGACCTTTTACCATTGCGAACCCCCAACACTTATTTCCACTGAAGGGGCACCGATTGGGGTGGCACTCTTCTAATGAGCATGCAACTGGTAATCTGTTCTTGCCCATGGCCACAGCCCTTTGTACATGGAGTCGTGCAATTGTATGGAGAGGTCTTCCTCCCCGGAAAGTCTTACAAACTTAGTCGCAATGCCTTAGTATGTCGAGAACTCGGCTGGTGGTTACGGGGTCATGAGTTTTAATCGAAGTTGAGCGTCACTCGGCAGTTCATGATTTTCATCATCATTGCCATTGTTAGCTCATAGGTTTTGGCAGACAATGTTACGATTCATAATATAATTTTTGGTTCGGCCACATAATGGTGCGGTAAGATCCTCCACCACACGACATAGCTAAACAAATGCTGTTGTCACTGTACAAATGTTTAGTGCGCCAAATATTATTGTTTCAGATCACCAGTAATTAAAGAGCAACCTTGACGGATCAAATTTACCAATTAGTTACCAATATACTGTGTTCCGTGATTGCTAGGCACCAGGTGGATTGAGTGTGCAGTGGCTTCATTTGCACATGCACGAAAGAGGCTAGGTCAAATTTTGATTTAAAGCGTTCGTGACTGCAGGGATTCATATTCTTGGTTCTTTCGGTAAAGTCACGTAGAAGGGAAACAATAAAGTAATAAAAAAAATTTAAATACAATTTTATTCGTTTATTGTTTCCCTTCTACGTGACTTTACCGAAAGAACCAAGAATATGAATACTCTTTGGTTCTATTGGGTAAAGTCACGTAGGTGAAAATAAAATAACAAAAAATCACGTTTCGGCCACAACACAAGCGGCCCTCATCAGGTGAAGGGACGAGACTGTCTGGAGGACAGCGCTGGAGTGACTTTACCCAATAGAACCAAAGAGTATGGATCCTAGCAGTCACGAAAGCTTTAAATCTAGAGAAGAATATGAATCCCTGCAGTCACGAACGCCTTAAATCAAAATTTTACCGAGCCTCTTTCGTGCAAGTGCAAATTAAGCCACTGCACACTCAATCCACCTGGTGACTAGCAATCACAGAATAAAAAAATAAAATTTTATTATTTTATTGTTTCCCTTCTACGTGACTTTACCGAAAGAACCAACAATAAGAGACTAGGTAATTTAGGAAAAGGCGGGCTATGCGTTTTCTGCGAGGAATGGATTTGAGAAAAACAATTAGAGATCAAGACAATGTGTAGCTTTGGCTTGCATGACTTGGTAGAGCAGCACCATCTTGTGGTGTTTGTGAGAATGACCTGAATAAGCCCCTCACTGTCAACTCACCAATGTAATTGCTCTGTTACCTACAGTGAGGGAAAAAGTATTTGATCCCCTGCTGATTTTGTACGTTTGCCCACTGACAAAGAAATTATCAGTCTATAATTTTAATGGTAGGTTTATTTGAACAGTGAGAGACAGAATAACAACAACAAAATCCAGAAAAACGCATGTCAAAAATGTTATTAATTGATTTGCATTTTAATGAGGGAAATAAGTATTTGACCCCCTCTCAATCAGAAAGATTTCTGGCTCCCAGGTGTATTTTATACAGGTAACGAGCTGAGATTAGGAGCACACTCTTAAAGGGAGTGCTCCTAATCTCAGCTTGTTACCTGTATAAAAGACACCTGGCCACAGAAGGAATCAATCAATCAGATTCCAAACTCTCCACCATGGCCAAGACCAAAGAGCTCTCCAAGGATGTCAGGGACAAGATTGTAGACCTACACAAGGCTGGAATGGGCTACAAGACCATTGCCAAGCAGCTTGGTGAGAAGGTGACAACAGTTGGTGCGATTATTCGCAAATGGAAGAAACACAAAATAACTGTCAATCTCCCTCGGCCTGGGGCTCCATGCAAGATCTCACCTCGTGGAGTTGCAATGATCATGAGAACGGTGAGGAATCAGCCCAGCTCCACACGGGAGGGTCTTGTCAATGATCTCAAGGCAGCTGGGACCATAGTCACCAAGAAAACAATTGGTAACACACTATGCCGTGAGGGACTGAAATCCTGCTCAAGAAAGCACATATACATGCCCGTCTGAAGTTTGCCAATGAACATCTGATTGATTCAGAGGACAACTGGGTGAAAGTGTTGTGGTCAGATGAGACCAAAATGGAGCTCTTTGGCATCAACTTAACTCGACGTGTTTGGAGGAGGAATGCTGCCTATGACCCCAAGAACACCATCCCCACCGTCAGACATGGAGGTGGAAACATTATGCTTTGGGGGTGTTTTTCTGCTAAGGGAACAGGACAACGTCACCGCATCAAAGGGACGATGGACGGGGCCATGTACCGTCAAATCTTGAGTGAGAACCTCCTTCCCTCAGCCAGGGCATTGAAAATGGGTCGTGGATGGGTATTCCAGCATGACAATGACCCCAAAACACACGGCCAAGGCAACAAAGGAGTGGCTTAAGAAGAAGCACATTAAGGTCCTGGAGTGGCCTAGCCAGTCTCCAGACCTTAATCCCTTAGAAAATCTGTGGAGGGAGCTGAAGGTTCGAGTTGCCAAACGACAGTCTCGAAACCTTAATGACTTGGAGAAGATCTGCAAAGAGGAGTGGGACAAAATCCCTCCTGAGATATGTGCAAACCTGGTGGCCAAAGAAACGTCTGACCTCTGTGATTGCCAACAAGGGTTTTGCCACCAAGTACTAAGTCATGTTTTGCAGAGGGGTCAAATACTTATTTCCCTCATTAAAATGCAAATCAATTTATAACATTTTTGACATGCGTTTTTCTGGATTTTGTTGTTGTTATTCTGTCTCTCACTGTTCAAATAAACCTACCATTAAAATTATAGACTGATCATTTCTTTGTCAGTGGGCAAACGTACAAAATCAGCAGGGGATCAAATACCCTTTTTTCCTCACTGTATGTGGGGATATGGAACGGATACAGTACAGGAACTGCACTGTATCTACTATGGACCACACAGTATACCACTGTAGTCTGCGCTCCTTCTATGGAGGATTAGCAGAACCACACAAACTCTCTCCTGAAGCCCTCTCGTGGCCAGCAGACATCAACATTGGTATTTAGCTCTTAAACATATTGCTGCCATACACAAGAACAGAACTGCGTCTATACCAAAGAAAGAACGAATTGGATAAATTATTCATCGCCTACCACGTGTTTGTTTTGTCAGAGGTTGTCAAACCAGTTAATAAAATACAGTGTGTAGTTTGATTTAATTTACTTAAACGAAGTACCTTCTACAAGAGTGCCCTTATATTATACGTCATATTATATTCTTTATTTCCATCACATTACTTTTTATTTAAAGCAGTTGTCCAATATATATTTTTTTAATTTACGTAATTTGTACAATTGTTCTACAAATTCCATAACATTTTATACAGTCCAGTTTTTGTTATATTTTTATTTCGTACTTCTTCTGCCCTGTAACCTCTTGCCTATTTTATTACTGAACTCTTCCAAGGTCTCGTTCCAAAACAGATGTGATGTCTCATTGTACTCTCATCTGGTTTTAATAAAAGCTACTTCCTCACCTACCCACACCCGTTTCTATCTTTCTACCTGCTTACTTAACTAAGGTTGCTGCAATAGAATTGTTCACGATATAATACGATACAAATCAAATTTCACGAAATACCCAGTGTGCTGTTATCCTACCTATATGGGTCATCCATACCTGCTGGGCTGGAATGATTCACTGGCTTGAGGCCGTTTGATTTTTTATCAAATAGAAGACTCAGACATGTTGCAATATGCATTGTACCCAAAGCATTAGAATGTATTAATACTGCAGAACCATCAATGTTTTCCTCTGCCACCCACCACAATGCTCTGCTTTTTGATTATATGGTAATATAGCCAGTTTAAAAACATAATTTTTGCTCATTTCTTATAGTCCTGTATTTAATGATACAGCTTCACGGAGCATCAAGAGTCTCTTAGCAAGGGTTCTGCATTAAGCAGTAGGGTTACCGCCAATGGCGACGTTCCGACAAACCGTACAGTCTGTAAGAGAACCACAATAATCATATCTTCAGTTTAGCTAAATATTTGTATCGAGATTTTCATTGCTTATTTTATTTCTATATACATACTTGATGTTCTGACTATGGAATAATAAACTCAATAATTAAGGTTATAAATAAATATTATACACTACATTAGTGCTTTGTAAAAAGGCTTTTCAGAGTAATGACATGGCAGTTATATAACGGCATCCTTTTCGTAGTTATTTTAATTAATACATATTAGTGTCACTGATGGTGTGCGTTGCAAGTGTAATCGATTGTGAAGGTATGACAAGTATAAAACGTCGTGAATTGTAGTTGAATACCTTTAGAGTAATTGTTATTTCTACTGGAAGTACGGCAAAGCAGAAAAACAAAACTAACAATGTGAAATACAAAGTAATGGGGAACTGATATTGCGATGATCATCCTATCGCGAAACTGAATAACGTACCATCTTGAAAACTTATATTGTGGCAACTCAAATTTTTGACCAATTCTCTTAAAGAGTTTTTTTTCTTTGTTCGTGTGGAAGGAAACCAGAATACCCAGAGAAAACCCACACGTACGAGGGTAACGCCCAGATCTCTGCGCATGTGTATTCAAGAATCTTATCACTGGACTACCAGCATGTGCCACGCCACCCGTAGTGGTCGCTCAGTAGTTTCTTTTCCTTCCCCCACACCCCCGATTGGTACGGTTGGCTACGTACGGTGCAAAAGAAGTTAAACCAGACGTGCATTATGAGAGCATATTCCCCCAGTGTGCGTACAGCGAACAGCGGGTGCTTAACTTTGGTTTATTGCTGGGGTTGTGTCAGAGTTGCGGTCATGGCCGTGTGGGTGCTCGTGTGCTGTGGTTGTTTCCCAGGGGCGGGGCACTGCTGAAGGCGACGAGTGGACCGGGCTACCACATCATGCTTCCCTTCATCACGTCTAACCGCGTCGTGCAGGTGTTACAACTTAGCCGCCACTTACCCAACCCCAACCCCCCTACCTTGTCACTGAGAGCACCTTGAGATTTTTCTGGAAGGCACTATATAAACTGTAATTATTGTTAATATACCACATCATGGAATCACCGCTGTGAGCCCCATATATATACACACATCTATAAATAAAACACCTTGTTAAAAAGGCAGTGGCTCCCTCCTTCAGTTAGCACTGGGGCAACACTCATCTGGTGACAGCCAGTGATGGACATTCCACATGTTCATGGCGGGGCCAGCTTATCCATAGCACAACCGATATTGACGTCACTAAATTATTATCGACCCCAAGTAGACTTGAGTAAACCCCCGGCCGGGATTTGACCTTGTAACTTTAAATTGAGCACTCTAACCACATCGTCAATTCGTGTATGATTTTTACTTAATGCAAAAGGTTAAATAGAAATAGTAACAGGTTGGTTTTACTTTCACTGGTATGTTAGGCAAAATTCAAGTGACAGTTGAGAAACCTGTTTTATGTACAAAGTCATGGAAGCTGCAACTTGATAATGTGTTTTAACTTATCTGTTTATGTATTTTGTACAGACCACCCTTCAAACGGATGAAGTCAAGAACGTGCCTTGTGGAACGAGGCGAGTGATAATTATTTATCGTATTGGAGAGTTCTATTTGAAATTGTACATTTTGGGCAGCCAGGCATGGTGTGGTGCTCTCCTATCTGACCTCCCTCTCTTGCGTTGTGCCAGCCTGAATGGGAAATGAACAACATTTTCTACGAGCCTTCCTGGCTAATGTAGACATCTTTGTTGCATGTATCTGTACATGCGTGCGTGCTTTGCTCATTAACAGCACTGGAGACTTCATGGATGATCTTCACCTATGTGTGTGTGTTTATTGTGCTTTAAGTTAATGTTTTTGACCAAATCGCCCACAATCCACCCAATTTTGCGAGATCTTGGAAGCCAAGCAAGGTTGAGTTTGGATTGTTCTGTACTTTTATGCTTTCCAACTTTACCAACCTGCGTGGACCAGCGTGTTAAAGTATGGTCAGATAACCCTCACTGTTAGGAGGCTCTTATCCAGCAGCGGAATGACAAAATGATTGTATGTGTACACTAAGGATGCACTGATTCACCACCCCTCCACAATTTGTTGAAATTAATTGTGATGATTCGGTGGGGGGGGGGGTCACCATTCGACTATTGAATCTTTGGCTTTCTGTATGTATGTTGAACTTATTCTTAGCTCTTTCGGTAAAGTCACGTTGACTTTACCGAAAGAGCTAAGAATATGAATTACTGCAGTCACGAAAGCTTTAAATCAAAATTTATGTTGAACTTCTTTCGCACCGTACGTAGCCAACCATGCTAATAGGATGTGCATGTAGAATCTGCAGTGGCATCACGGTTTCCATGAAACAGATCGCGCACAACTTATGCAAATCTGAAATAACCAATTATTACATGCAATATTCATTGCTTGTTAATACATCCATATTGTGTATAGAGAGGGGCGACAAGAGTGGATAGTGTTAGTGAGCTGCATTCCTAACATTGAAAATAAGTGACCCGGTACGTGGCGTGAACATCACCACGTAAAAGAATAGCAGCCAGACATGGTGCTGGCCACATCGTTTTTGGTCAACGTTGCCATACCAGCAACGACTCCCTAACGGAGACAACGACTCCCCAATGGAGGCAACGACTCTCAAAACGTAGGCAACATCTACCAATCTTAGGCAACGACTCCCCAAACGTAGGCAACAGCTACCAAACCTAGGCTATGACTCCCCAAACGTAGACAACGACTCCCCAAACCTAGGCTACGACTCCCCAAACCTTGGCAACGGCTCCCAAACGTAGGGACAACGACTCCCCAAACCTAGGCTACAGCTACCAAACCTAGGCAACGACTCCTCCAATGTAGGCAATGGCTCCCTAACGTAGGCAACGACTCCCAAAATCCAGTTCAAATCCGGTACAGCATTTTATTTTACTTTTATGAAGTGTTCCCCAACAGCTCTCTCGCCAATAGATTATCCAGGCTGGAAGGGGAATCTTTGTAGCTGTGTGTGTGTGTCAGTGTGTGCATGTTGTGGGGAGCAGTAGTGTAGCGGTTAGCGCTACGCTAATCAGTGACGATTATCTGAACCGGTCTTGGGCCTCCCCTAGGTCGACTCGGCCCCAAATGAGTACCTGATGCAGTGTATAAATATCACCACTGGAGAGACAAAGGCGGTCGGGCGTGGTGCACTTGCCCCAATAGTCTGTTCAATGCTATATAGGGATATTTGCTTGTGCCTATCATACTCGAAATAATTTAGAATGTCACTTAACTGCAGTCTAACCATGCTGCTGTGAGCGTTTTATTTTTCCTTTTTGTGTTACAGTGGAGGAGTGATGATCTACTTCGACCGGATAGAAGTGGTTAACATCCTGGCGGCAGATGCAGGTGGTGTGTGTGTGTTTGTGCACATGTTCTCGTGTGTGTGCATTTGTCTGTGTTTACACACATGTTTATGTACGTATGTTAAACTTCTGTCGCACCGTACGTAGCCAACTGTGCTAATCGGAGGTGCGGGGAAGGACAACAAACTAAACAAAAAAATAAGTTCTAAAGGAATGAGTTTTTAATCTAGATGATGATTTCAAAGTGCATGGCTCCCAGTGGATTCCTAATATTGGAAAGAAGAGCGTTCCAGACGGCCTCGGAAGCGCATCTGAAAGCATGCGATGCGGTGACCGTCTTTGTTCAATGGTTAGCTAAAACCCGCTGCGAGTATGGCCAGAGTTCGAGTGATGGTTTATGCTCCTTGACGAGATCAGCAAGGTATTGTGGTTCATTTGTGGCAAGCACTTTGTGTGTATTGAGTGCAACCTTAGAATATATTTGGTCGGCAACTGTAAGCCAATGCAGCTCAGCGATTGTGTATGTTGTTATTTGAATAGTAGGTCACCTTTGAAGGCTACATTTCCATGTTAATATATATGTCGTTGTTAATCCACTGCTGGGTGAGGACTTTCTTATACTGTGCTAATCGTGGGTAGTTATTTGAACATACGTCGGCTCACTGGTTAGTGCTGGTTGGTGATGGGGGAGCATGGAGGTATAGTACAACTATGTATTTTTTATGCCCTGCCCTCTGCTGCCCATAACGTAATCCTGCAGGCAATAACGACTTGTTGTGAATGGTGTTCACCCTTTCCAGCAATATAGCCAAGGTCAACCCTGCTAAGCTTCCGACAAGATGTGACAAGCTCAGACAACAGCATACGCTATAGATAGTTGACAGCTACCAGGCAGGCAGCTTTGTGGCACAGCACTCGACTCAGTCAAGGGTCAAGTCAACTCACAATCCCTTCAGGCTCAATAGAAATGTATTATTTTTGTAGGAAGTCAACAGTAATGTTCTTTGTATACACCCGGTACCCGCCATAGCAATGAGGAATTTTACCACTGGCTCAGGACCGCTGCGAGAGATGAGCACCGTCCTGAGCGTATTTAAGCAACGAGAGGAACGTTTACTTGAGAACAAAAATATTTTTTTTTACCCTCGATGTAGTTATGCACTCTACAGGGGACGAGCGTTATTTGAGCATCCACAAAGAGGTACTCATTTTAACTGCCTTGGAGGTATGATGGGCTAATGTTGTTGGATTATGAGTCGAGTGCTCCAACTCCAGCACCGCTCTGCTAGATTAAATATAGCAGTGGATTGAGAATGCCTGGTGACACTGGGGGGAGCTGCAGAGACAGGTCTGAGGTGGTTGCTTGGGGGAGACTGGACGAACGTCACTGAGCATGTATGTGTTTGTGTGCGTTTCGCGTGGTTTACGTGTGTGCGCGACGCGCAGTGTACGACATTGTGAAGAACTACACCGCTGACTACGACAAGACGCTCATCTTCAACAAGGTGCACCACGAGCTCAACCAGTTCTGCAGCGTCCACTCCCTGCAGGAGGTCTACATCGAGCTGTTTGGTGAGTGCACGCGGGAACTCCCAGCCAGTGTGCATGCACTGGTGTACACGCACGTACACACAAAGTCGAACCTCCGCCGTTTATCCGTACAGAATCCTGGGCTTCCCGCCGTTGACGAGCATCTCTTTAAGGCCAGCGCGGTGCACACGTAGGGGGTGGTGACCAATGCCAACACTGTATCTGATTGGCTTTTGACTCCCCATTGCTGATGTTCTAACACCAGGAGTGGTTCAAATATCGCTCGCCACGATAGCTGTGGCCAGGAATCAAACTAAGGTTGCTGGGTTCGTAGTGCAGTGTTTGACGATAATGCTCCAGTGTACACACATAGGTGCCCAAACAATACAAAGACCAATAACCCCGTTATAGCTTTAACAGACTATTTGGGCCAAGTGCTGTTGGCGAGCACCTATGAAGGTCAGCACGGCACAAGAGGGGATGGTGGGTGGCCAGCACCAATTCTGGTTACCTTTGTCGCTTCCCTAGTGCCAATATTTACACACCGTCCCAAGTATTAATTTGAGGTTGAGTCGACCTCGAGAAGGCCAAAGACTGCTTCAGATAATCGTCACTGGCGTTGGCCGTGAGCGGGAATTGAACTCGGCACCCCCGGGTTTATTGCGCAGCGTGCTAACCGCTGCACTACCGCTCCACAAACGATACACACACAAACATACTCACACTCTTTCGTGTGTCTGCTCTTTATCTCGGCGAGTGCAGATCAAATTGATGAGAACCTCAAGATCGCCCTTCAGCAAGACCTCACCTCGATGGCTCCAGGCCTCTTCATACAGGTGCCAATTGGGACCGCTTCCTGTAGATTCCGTAGGCTGTAAGGGAGGGATGGATGTTCATCTTAGTGCGCCCTCAGCCACAATCGTGTACATGTTACGAGGGCTTACTTGTACTGACAATGGTGACACTTTTTTGATGGTTTTCTTTTTTAAGTTGAAGCCTTGCTCAAATGAGTGAGAGGCAGCACTTGTCTCCATTGGTGCCATAAATAAGTGATGTAAATTGCACATTTCTATGGCCGAGATCATTTTTGATAGGACAATTGCTTTTGATCTCCTCATAAAATGCTCCTTGTTTTATACGTCCTGGAGGGATGATGGGCTGAGCCTAGCCTGAACCAGGATTTGAATTTTCAACTCTCCAGTTGTGAGTCATGTGGTTCTCACGATTTACCACTGTGGATTTACAAATTGAATACGCTTCACTTTATCTGTTGGCTCTCGAACGCAGCTGAGCTTGCACAATATTTTGGGGCTTTCAAGGCATTGTGAATATTTCCGATGATACCGTGCCCTCTGTTACCGCCGATAAGCACGTTTGGCTACGTCCGGTGTGAAAAGAAGTTAATCTTGCATACGTGCCTTGTTTGATGTCATGTGCGTGCAAGAGTGCCCCTCATTCTGGGAGCGTTTTTCAAAGCTCTCCACTGCGAAAGGATGCGATGGTACCCACGCTTTATGCTACCTGACGGTGATTGAAAATTACGTTGTCACTGGTTGCGATGATGGTGCTCTTAATGTCAGTGTTGATGATGACGACATTGAGGGTGTTTTGCACGCAGGCTGTTCGCGTAACGAAACCAAAGATCCCGGAAGCCATTCGAAGAAACTATGAGCTCATGTGAGTGAGCTCTCTCCCCTGTGTAACCATTTGGGGGGAGGGCATTTGTCTGTGTGTGTGTGTGTGTGTGTTTTATCGTGGAGCGATAGTGTAGCGGTTAGCGCGCTGCGCTATGAACCTGGCGACCCGGGTTCGATTCCCGCTCACGGCCAACACCAGTGACGATTATCTGAACCGGTCCCGGGCCTCCCCTAGGTCGACTCAGCCTCAAATGAGTACCTGGTGCGGTGTGTAAACATCGCCACTAGGGAGACAAAGGCGGTCGGGCGTGGTGCTGGCCACCCACCCCCTCGTGTACCGTTCTGGCCTTCATAGGTGCTCGCTAACAGCACTTGCCCCTACAGTCTGTTACAGGCTATATGGGGGATCTTTGTCTTTGTTTTATCGTGACCATTTACTTTAATTGTTTCAAATTTGTTACTGATAGTTTTTTTAAAAAAATATATAATTATGTTTGGATTCCAGATGAAACTTATTCTCGTTGAATGTGTAATGGAAACGTACACTTAAACTTGACGGTGACGATTCTTTTGAGGCCTCCTCGTATATGTGCACAGGTAGATGTCTTCTAAATCTGTGCATCAAGAGTATTTAGTTGAATTTGAGACTACATTGCGGTTGTATAATGCTTCATAAAAACTGAATATATTGAAGGTGATGTTGCTGAGTAGAGTGCCAGCCCATTTTATAAAGAATACATAAATAATGGAATTCCTTAGTTTAGAGCAATGGTTCTTAAAAATTACTGCAGCCTTGCACCTCTTTGGTTCTCAAATTATTAAACATTTATAATATTAATTAATACATAGGTTTGATGAAACAATGTAGTTGTACTTACATGCCCGTGATTTACCTTCTCATAAAATCTGACATGTCTTGCACTCCCAGACAGGGCATCTCGTACCTCCAGGGGGTGCTTGCACCCCAGGTTAAGAACCACTGGTTTCGAGAGACAAGTATTTTTACATTAAGAGCCACAGTTTTGGTGGAATATTGAATGAGACTGTGACGTTGAATGAACTTTTATTGGTTGTTCGGGGGGGGGGGGTGTAATTATAAAAACGATGATGACGTTAGCGATTCTGCTGAGCGCATAGTGGAACGGATATGACGGAGTGGAGCGCGAGTGCCTGGAAGCCGCCCATTTTAAATCGCTTGACTGGGCGAAACGTTCCCACGTCTCTGTTTCCATGGCAGGGAGGGCGAGAAGACAAAGCTGATGATCGCGGCACAGCGACAGAAGGTGGTGGAGAAGGAGGCGGAGACGGAACGCAAGAAAGCCATCATCGGTAGGGTACGGGCCATGGCCCCGTGTCTCCCACTTACACCGTGCATCAGTGTTGGGGTGCCGCAGTGGCAAGATGTTAACTCCCTCGCCCGGTATGCAGGAGGTCGTGGGTTCGTTCCCAAACCTGATGCCTGTATATTTGGAGTTTGCATGTTCTACCCGTGGTCGCTTGTATTTTTCTCCGGGTCCTCCGGTTTTTCCCCTCCGCATTTAGAAACATGCGTTAAGAGTATTTGGCTAGAATACATTTCCGTGTGATAAGCCACTTCGTTGAGCTAGCATTTGCGGCTAGGTCGCTTCTGAAAAAGAGCTTCATCGCAGCTCAGTGGGCCTTAACCTGGTAAAATAAAAAAAAATGTAATACAATTCTGCAACTTAATTGTGATTGCACTGGGATTAGTCTGACATAATCTGCCTGAGCCGACTTGCACTACAGAGAACTTATTACTTAACGTTGATTTACGTTTGTGCAATATGTGCGATTTCTCATGTGACGCCAGTTGTCTTTGCTGTAATTTCTATTTGCTTTATTGCTGGAATATTTATTTATTGTTTGCTTTTGGTGACCCAGGTCACTTGCAATTGAGATTCATCTTGTTCTATTGAGTTCCCTTCTGATTAAACAAAATAAACTTTAAATCTGATCAACAGCGATGGGTGAGCGGACCCATAGTGGGCAGGTACCTCCACACAGGTGGAGGTGAATTCTCACGATTCGGAGTCTAACTTCTCCATGATCAGTTATTTTTGGTCTTTTTTTACCATCCTGTTGGTATTTTCTTTCTGTCTCATTTTTTTACACGTGTGTAATGCAATATATTTGCGTGTCATAGTTTGCATACATCTTAGTCACTTCCCACACGCATGACTGAGTGTATTATCATGAGGATGAGAATGTTATTTAATCTAAATCGATGTATCGTTGCGTTGTACATGTCTAGCCCATACTACCGGTGTTGGAACATCGGGCCAAATCACTCCTTTTGTGGCCTTACTGACTGCACTTGCGCAACCCGTCTTTGACTAAATGGGGAACCTTCATTTTTTTTCTATGCATAAATGTCTGGTTGAATTTATTTCTGTAAAGTTGCGTGTATTTATTTGTACACGCTTTAATGTGGGGAGCGGTAGTGGAGTGGTTGGCGCACTGCGCTACGAACCTGATGATCCGGGTTTGACTCTTAGCCAGGTATAACAGCAGTGTAAAGTGGCACCCGAACCCCACCGGGGCCTCCTTTTTAGGTCTTCTCCGTCATAATTGCGCACACAGTGCTGATGTTGGCACACTGTACCAGGACGAAAAGAGGTGGCTAAGGCATGGTTCTGACCACACCACAACCCTCTCTTGTGCTTTGCTGTACAAATAAATACATGTGGCCTTAACAAACACTCGCTTGCGGGACTTGCCCCAACAGACCGTGACGACAAATGGGGGAAATCTATGATTTTCCATGGATATCCATGCATCTGTCTTTGCACTCTACGCGTGTCCAGAGGCTGAGAAGGTGGCCCAGGTGTCCAAGATCCAGTTTGAGCAGAAGGTGCAGGAGAAGGAGACGGAGAAGAAGATGTCGGAGCTGGAGGGTACTTTGTGCTCCCACAGTTGCACGCACATTGACGCGTACTGAGCTGCATCAGGCCAGCGGCGCTTCAGCACCGGTTACAATATACCATCCGTCCTATCATCACCAATGAGCACCACCTTGGATATAACTTGTGACAGTTCGTGCATCGGCCCGAAATTAATTTGAGGTGATAAGGCGTGAGACTTCAATCTCGTCCTATGTGATGAAATTCATTTGGAACCTGTTATCTGTAACACTATCCACAATATTTCGGATATTCGCATGAAATTGTCTCTGAAATCATCCCAGTAAACTTACAAATTGTGAGGGAGGCATTTTCACAGCACTTTCTGAGCATTTAAAAAACTTTGTTTTGCAACGTTCATTAGACAAGTGGAGGGTTTAGACAAGTGGAGGGTTGGACAAGCGGAGGGTTTAGACAAGCGGAGGGTTTAGCCAAGCGGAGGGTTTAGACAAGCGGAGGGTTTAGCCAAGCGGAGGGTTTAGCCAAGCGGAGGGTTTAGCCAAGTGGAGGGTTTAGACAAGCGGAGGGTTTAGCCAAGCGGAGGGTTTAGACAAGCGGAGGGTTTAGACAAGCGGAGGGTTTAGCCAAGCGGAGGGTTTAGACAAGCGGAGGGTTTAGCCAAGCGGAGGGTTTAGCCAAGCGGAGGGTTTAGCCAAGCGGAGGGTTTAGACAAGCGGAGGGTTTAGACAAGCGGAGGGTTTAGCCAAGCGGAGGGTTTAGCCAAGCGGAGGGTTTAGACAAGCGGAGGGTTTAGCCAAGCGGAGGGTTTAGATAAGCGGAAGGTTTAGACAAGCGGAGGGTTTAGACAAGCGGAGGGTTTAGACAAGCGGAGGGTTTAGACAAGCGGAGGGTTTAGCCAAGCGGAGGGTTTAGACAAGCGGAGGGTTTAGCCAAGCGGAGGATTTAGATAAGCGGAAGGTTTAGACAAGCGGAGGGTTTAGACAAGCGGAGGGTTTAGACAAGCGGAGGGTTTAGACAAGCGGAGGGTTTAGACAAGCGGAGGGTTTAGACAAGCGGAGGGTTTAGACAAGCGGAGGGTTTAGACAAGCGGAGGGTTTAGACAAGCGGAGGGTTTAGACAAGCGGAGGGTTTAGACAAGCGGAGGGTTTAGACAAGCGGAGGGTTTAGACAAGCGGAGGGTTTAGACAAGCGGAGGGTTTAGACAAGCGGAGGGTTAGATGGACCCTATGGTGTTGCTTCTGTCCTGTTTACAGCTCTGAGCCTAGTGGTTGAAATTACACATTCCTATGGCAGTTGGATGGGCCTGTCCAGAGGACAACCACAGTTGACTTCCTACAATGTGGCACTTTATTGACCACTGTAGGATGATGGGCTGAGATCATATATTTTAATTTTTGCCTTTTAATTTGCTAGGTTGTACATGGACATTCACATTTACCATCATAATCGGGAGCTATTGGCCGATCCTTTGCTGTAAAACATGTTGGTTGATTTACTACAAAATCCTAACGCCTTGAATGGATAGAAGTGATAAACATTGCAGAAGGAAGCGTTGGGCCGCATGTTTCATCGAACTCTTGTGGTGTGTGTGTGCGTGTCGCTCAGACACTGCATTCCTTGCTCGGCAGACGACAAAGGCCGACGCAGAGTACTACACGGCGCTGAAGACTGCAGAATCTAACAAGGTGAAGTGCGTGCTTGGAGTAGAGATGCAGTGGTTTGCACGCTACAGTATGGACACAGTGACTCGCGCCGAATTCCTCCATGAGAACAACACGAGTGGCAATTCGTATCTGAATCTGGTGTCCACCTACCCTGGGTTAACTCGGCCTAAATTAGGCACCCCTGTGCTTAAACCCCAGGATCTGGGCAGTGGTGTTTCAACAATCTATACAGAGGCACAACGTGATGAGTTTTTATTTGTCAGTCACGTGGCTACCTCAATGCGCACGGGGCTTTTGAACCCAGTTTACTCGGCAAATTTGCCCTGGTGAGAGTGACCGGTGTTCGTGGTTAAGTCACCGATGTTGTAATCTCTCTGCAAAAGCTCCGTATTTTGACAAGCGCTCCCATGTGCAAACTAGTCTCTCATTCCCATTCATGGCGTTCTCAATTGCCTTGCTTTAATAAAAAAATCCCAATCGTATTTCTGTTATGTGGTCAATGCTGTTACCTACTTGCACAATCCGCTGTTGGATAAAGAGCCGTCACATTCTGTGCATCATCTGGCTGGGTGGCTGCCATGATTTTCTCGCTTGACTCACAATTGGAATGTCGTGATTTAAAACCCCAGTGTGGGGTTTACTCGCTTTATCATCGCTCCTGATGTTGATCAAATGAGTACTGCATTTCGATTTAAAGCTTTCGTGACTGCAAGGATTCATCTTCTTTGGTTCTTTCAGTAAAGTCACGTAGAATGAGAATAAAATAGTAATAAAATAATAAAATAAAGCAGTAAAATTCTCACAATGTTATTGTTTTATTTTATTATTTTATTCTCATTCTACGTGACTTTACCGAAAGAACCAAAGAAGAGTACTGCATTGTTGAACGTCAACAGTAGTCATCGTGCGGAATGGCTGGCCTCCCACCTTGACAATGTGGAATTTTCAGGGAGATAATTTTTGCTATTTTTTTGCTGGGTAACAAATAATAGGAGGACCAGTGGCACGATGATTCGTGCATTTCCCTATGAACCCAGTAACCTGAGTTCAAAGCCTGGCCATGGATAACAGTAGTGGTGAATGGTGTCTGAACTGGTTCCAGGGCCTTGTCCTCTCATTGCCAACCTGCACTGATTAGTGTGGTGAATTCAGGATGGTTAAACAACTCCCTTGACTGACACGGTGTGATTAAACCATGGAGAAGGGAAGTGACAAAGAGCTGTTATATAACAGTGTAATAATGAGTACAATCGGACCCCTGGGAATCGTGGCTTCGCATGAGACTCGCGTTTATAATTCGTTTAATTCCACAGTTAAGGATTAAAACAGCCCATCAGTCCGTAGGTGTCAATAAAATGAATACTACTTTCTGAGAACTCAACATCGACCGTCCTTACAGACAGAAAGGTGGAATTTCCACTGCTTGTTTTAGGGCTCCCGATTAAGAGGAGTGCTGCTCCTGTTGCTTATTTCAGTGGAGAGACGCTTTCTTTATACCTTCGACTTTCTACAGGAGTATCACTTTGCGGAATATGTTCTTTCGTTCATTTCGCAATCCGCTTGTCCTGGTGAGGGTCGCGGCGGCAGCACGTTGAGTAGGACGGTCCAGACTTTCCTTTCCCTGGAGACGGACTCTAGCTGTACAGTGAGGGAAAAAAGTATTTGATCCCCTGCTGAATTTGTATGTTTGCCCACTGACAAATAAATGATCAGTCTATAATTTTAATGGTAGGTTTATTTGAACAGTGAGAGACAGAATAACAACAACAAAATCCAGAAAAACGCATGTCAAAAATGTTATAAATTTATTTGCATTTTAATGAGGGAAATAAGTATTTGACCCCTCTGCAAAACATGACTTAGTACTTGGTGGCAAAACCCTTGTTGGCAATCACAGAGGTCAGACTTTTCTTGTAGTTGGCCACCAGGTTTGCACACATCTCAGGAGGGATTTTGTCCCACTCCTCTTTGCAGATCTTCTCCAAGTCATTAAGGTTTTGAGGCTGTTGTTTGGCAACTCGAACCTTCAGCTCCCTCCGCAGATTTTCTATGGGATTAAGGTCTGGAGACTGGCTAGGCCACTCCAGGACCTTAATGTGCTTCTTCTTGAGCCACTCCTTTGTTGCCTTGGCCGTGTGTTTTGGGTCATTGTCATGCTGGAATACCCATCCACGACCCATTTTCAATGCCCTGGCTGAGGGAAGGAGGTTCTCACCCAAGATTTGATGGTACATGGCCCCGTCCATCGTCCCTTTGATGCGGTGAAGTTGTCCTGTCCCCATAGCAGAAAAACACCCCCAAAGCATAATGTTTCCACCTCCATGTTTGACGGTGGGGATGGTGTTCTTGGGGTCATAGGCAGCATTCCTCCTCCTCCAAACACGGCGAGTTGAGTTGATGCCAAAGAGCTCCATTTTGGTCTCATCTGACCACAACACTTTCACCCACTTGTCCTCTGAATCATTCAGATGTTGATTGGCACACTTCAGACGGGCATGTATATGTGCTTTCTTGAGCAGGGGCACCTTGCGGGCGCTGCAGGATTTCAGTCCTTCACGGCGTAGTGTGTTACCAATTGTTTTCTTGGTGACTATGGTCCCAGCTGCCTTGAGATCATTGACAAGATCCTCCCGTGTAGTTCTGGGCTGATTCCTCACCGTTCTCATGATCATTGCAACTCCACGAGGTGAGATCTTGCATGGAGCCCCAGGCCGAGGGAGATTGACAGTTTATTTGTGTTTCTTCCATTTGCGAATAATCGCACCAACTGTTGTCACCTTCTCACCAAGCTGCTTGGCAATGGTCTTGTAGCCCATTCCAGCCTTGTGTAGGTCTACAATCTTGTCCCTGACATCCTTGGAGAGCTCTTTGGTCTTGGCCATGGTGGAGAGTTTGGAATCTGATTGATTGATTGCTTCTGTTGACAGGTGCCTTTTATACAGGTAACAAGCTAAGATTAGGAGCACTCCCTTTGAGAGTGTGCTCCTAATCTCAGCTCATTACCTGTATAAAAGACACCTGGAAGCCAGAAATCTTTCTGATTGAGAGGGGGTCAAATACTTATTTCCCTCATTAAAATGAAAATCAATTAATAACATTTGACATGCGTTTTTCTGGATTTTTTGTTGTTGTTATTCTGTCTCTTCACTGTTCAAATAAACCTGCCATTAAAATTATAGACTGATCATTTCTTTGTCAGTGGGCAAACGTACAAAATCAGCAGGGGATCAAATACTTTTTCCCCTCACTGTACATTACTATACACTACACTACTATACAGTACTATACACAGACTCTAGCTCTTCCTGCGGAATTCCCGGGTGTTCCCAGGCCAGCCGAGTGACATAGTCCCGCCAGCGTGTCCACGGCTGGCCCCGGGGTCTTCACGAAATATGTTGTCAACAGTAATTGCCTTGTGGAGAAATAGGCCCCACCTGATGACTGTCAAAGTCACACAACTAGCTTAGGACCACCAAAATAAATGAGCCCTGGCCTATTCCCGTTTTAGCGGCAAAACGCTTTGACGTTCATCTCTCTGCGTTTAAAGTGGGACTGACAAAACATCCCAATTCGGGGGGCGGGGCGGGGGGGGGCTTTTCAGTGAGGTTTTCATGGATAAATAAATGCTTGTGCTTGTATGGTCACTGATTTGTCACCGCTGCGTGAGCGTAGGTGAAGCTGACGCCCCAGTTTCTGGAGCTCATGCGGTACCAGGCCATCTCCGCAAACGCCAAGGTCTACTTTGGCCGCGACATCCCCAGCATGTTTCTGGACGGCATGATGCTGGGCGCCCGCGGTGGACAACCACCCACCAGCGGGGGGCAGCAACGGGATGCCTCGACCGCCGAGGGCTCTCCTGGCGACTCCCAGGCCTCGCCGCAGCAGCAGCAGCAGCAGCACTAACGGCGGAATGAATGACATCCGATGCAAGCGACAGCTTGCACGGAAAGATTATCCTAGAATCTGCGAGGATTGACGCATCGTAAGATTATTCCTACGCTGAACGAAGGGTGCAAGAGTTGACGTGTCAAAGAAATGACTTTCACATTGAATGACATCTACGCGGAGAGACATCTACACCGAGTGATTTTTAACAGTGACTCGTGTGGGAATGACTTGCTGGTTGAATTCTGCATTGATTGGCATCTCGGCTGGATTTCTTTAAAGACAAAATATAAAAAAATACAAGAGTTGACTGCTAGAAGAAATTACATCAACTAGGAATGACCTCTATAGTGCATTATCTTTTTTTGCAGTGACATCTCGGCTGAATGAGTTGACACGTATACCGATTAATGTCTGTATGAATTTACATCAATAAGGACTGACATTTTTAACAAGTGATTTCTATAGCAAACGTAAAATGACGTCTAGGGACTAACATACACAGACGCACCTGGAGTTTCACGACGTGAGGACTGCGCGACATTGAGACAAACACGACGCCACTAAATCGGAACGGCAAGACAAAAGGGGGGTGGGTGGGGGGGCGGGAACTGTGCTAAATGACGACCTGGCACACGCAGTTGTGGTGGTGTCGGCACCACACACCCTGTCCCAAACCAATAAACGGCCGCCTCGGCAAAGGCTGGGCGACAACGCGGTGAGGGCGCTGTCGCCAAACTCGGGAATAACCGTGGGCGCAGAGGTAATGGAAACGGCACAGAACATTCGTGTGCACGTGTTTCTGCGGGAAAAAAATGAAAAATGTCTTGAATGGTAACTCTGAATCGGTTACCTTTTTTTTTTTCCCCGCTTCACCAGGATCGTATACAGCGTTAGGATTCTACATCGATCCTTCTCCCCATGTTAACCCGCTCAAGGAGAAACTGGAAGATAACAGAAAATGCACCAGTTATTTCGTAACATGATTTGATTTCCTGCAGTGTATATGCAATTTTAGTCTTTGTGCACTGATGCTGCAATACATTATTTTCGTCAATGAAGCTGCGCCTTGTGGTGTTTCTCAAATTATGCCCAGCGCCTTGATTTTGGAACAACTGTAATCAACTCTCAAAACTGTTGTTTTGAAAGGCGCCTTTCTTAAAGCAATGCGCCGATGTATAATTTATCATTCTCCGAAAAAAACTTGGGAAATCCATGCCTGTCAACCCATATGGTTTACCCTTCCTCCCCCCCCCCCCCCCCCCCGTATTCTTGTACAGAAAAATTGAGTTTTCAGGTCCATACGGCGTACAGCCGTTTCAATACGGGCACAAACACATTTTTTCGTCTGTGTTTCTCCCTTATGATCGGACTTCTTTGTTTGATGAACGTTGAGATTTATAAGGGCACGGGGGTGACCAATAAGGTCTGAATTGAGCTGTAAAAATGTAGGCACTGAAAAGGGGTTGACAGGTTAATCTGAACCGTAACTTAGATGCTGTGTTAGCTTTCATCCATGATGCCGGGCTGAACAGGTAACGTGTATTCTTTTTTTTAAGATTGGGATGTTTAGATAGTCTCTTATTTGACGAGGTAGAGAATTCCACATGGTTGGGGCCATATAAGCAAAAGAATGGGCCCGGAATGTATGTTAACACTCTGAGGATGTATAGCCATTGTGACACCCACCTCATAAGCAGTTAACTACTTGTAGGAGGCCATACACAAGTCATACACAAGTAGGATTCTAATAAGCTGTGTGAAATTGCAGTGTTCTTTCCTCGTATGCATTGGGGTTTTTTCCCCCATACACTAGTTTCTGCCCACACAAAAATAGAACTCAAAGGAACCCGCGAAACATCCCAAGCACGTCCTTTCTGAGTATTGTCATCCATTGACTTTCCCGGGTAAACAAAGATAACATTGTTTTTCGTAGAGTGTTTTTGCTGTGAGCAAAGCACGAGAGTAGCAAAAATAATGTTATGAATTTCAATTCCTGTGCGGGATCAACTCGGCCATCCTTCCAGGGCCAATGAATACCATTTGTGGGAAGTTACACTTGGTCATCCCATGAAGAGACTTCCACCATGTGAATGTGGAATTTCCTCCGCTGGCTAAGGGCCACCACGAATGGAGACGATTACTGCCCCAGTGGGGATGTCGGGTTTGATTGCCTTGACCTGTGGAGTCTATACACTGTACAGCTGCCGTAATTTACATCGTACTCGCAAGCTCCGTTCAGCAGTGAGCAGCCAATGCCGCCAATGAAAGGAAATTCCTCATGCACTTTGCGGCTTACGACACCAAGTGGCGAATCCGAGTAAGCCATTGTGCGCCCAGCCATTGGATACACATGGACCCATTCCCCCTGTGATCGCCAAACCCTCCAAAAGCCCGGTTATTCTCCGTAACACCATGGCGCAAGGGAAAGACGTGCGAGTGAATATCTCAAAATGGTTGAGCTTTTGAAAATTAAGATTAATGTAACTGTTGTAAACATTGAGCACTCCAGTGTGGGGTGGGCCCTGCAGTGTGTATCGCGTGTGCGGCCTCGGGTTCCCATTGCTTGTAAGACACTGTGCGTGCGATGGTGCTGGGGTTGTGAAAGGGGCGAATGTAGCTGCATTAATGCTGAATACACCAGGTAAGAATGCAGTTTAAATATACATTTTCCCAACGCATAGGTCCCGTAATGAGTAGGGATTAGTGTTTTAGATTTGGAGCTTTCCTGACTGCAAGCATTCATACTCATTGTTTTTTTCGGTAAAGTCACGTAGGTAAAATAAAAGAAAACAACTAAATTAAATCACGACGTTTCGGAGGCAACACAAGCTTCCGTCTTCGGGTGGAATAGTACTGATGTGACTTACCGAAAAAAACAAAGAGTAGGATTAGTATTGGTTCTTTCGGTAAAGTCACGTCGAATGGGGATAAAATAATAAAAATAAAAATTCTCACGATGTTTCGGAGGCAACACAAGCTTCCGTCTTCAGGTGGGACAGTCACAGCAAGATCGCTGATCAAGAATAACACTAGGATTGGTGTTATATACTAGGATTAGTGTTATTCTTACTCGTTTGCGTTGTGTTTGTCATTCCAAATTTTGCTGCAAAATTCTGTGCTTGCCGAATGCATGCAATCTTCCTAGGCTATTGCTATACTCAAACACTAAACAGCTACTCAAATGACTTTTTTCTCCTAGGGTTTAATGAGGCCGTGGGCTTTAATTATTGCTAATTGGAAGTCCCCCAGCCGTTTTTGCTGTGTGGTGCGGATAGGTTGTGGTCTGAGGTTTAGTGCTCTTTTTAGTTAATTCATTGAGCCATATGTAATATCTATTTTGACGTCTGAATCGATGTTTTCTTATTCTCATAGATACTATATAATTAATATCTTAGCTGTGTAACAATGCATAGTCCTGTCCACTGGGCCAGTTTCTACAAAGGCAGTAAGTTTGATTGTTGCTGCTGCTGCCCAGTAATGTCTGTGGAGCCGATCAAAGCGTGCCGTTTTCTGTAAAGTGGATATTAAAGAACTTGTAGATCATTCACAAGATTGGGCCATTTTGTGTCGGTGTAAGATCTCAAATTTGAAAATTACCTCCATATTGTTAAATGGCAGAAGTGGTTGATGACGGTGTCAGGAGCACCATCCTGGGTTCAAATCTTACATTCCGGTCTGAAATTAAATTATCTGCCCAGATTCGCAATACATGAAGAATGTAACAATCATTTCAATTACTTTGAAATGGTTAAACATGTATCGGACGACTTAACGCGGTGAACCATGCTCCGCAAGCAGGTCTTTGAGGAGTTGCCGTGTTGTACCATCCATCTGCAGTCTTTCCTCATGTTGACAAGGTTCTCCTGTTTGTGGGAAGATTGTCAGTGCAATGCGCTTTTCTTGGCCTCTTTCCATTGATGGGTATCAATGTTGGAACATAATTTTGCTTCAATGTCCCAACATAGTAAACGCAATGGCAGATGCATTTCCGCAACGTCTGTGCATCTTTTGAAAAGGCGTGAATCTCCCGGTGCAGTTTTTCACCCCCCCCGAGTACATTCAGCCACTCATTTTCATTGGAACACGGATGTTAACAATGTTCTATATCTGAAAAAAGCGTTTGTTAAAGGAGTTATAAAATGTCATGAATGAACGCTTGGTGGAGCCCTTGAGTTAACCTGGATTGAACAGTGCCTTCTTCGAGGTTGTCCTCTGGATAGACTTGCCATCTCCAGGGCTACTTCAAAGCCACCTGTGGAGATGATCGCCATCCCACGCCAGCTCTTGTTTTGGGTGCACAACTACCATCCGGTTGAGTACATTGGGCCCTTGCAGTCCACACGTAGCTCAATGTTGAGTGATTCTCACCTATATGCAAGCTTTTATCAAGGGTCCGATTGTCTCAAGCCTATACATCTGGGTGCCTGCGGAACGGAGGAATAACGGTGCATACGAGGGAAAGGTTCTTGAAAACGCGGTGCCACGCTTAATAATCGGCGGCGAGCTGATCCCATAACTATGTACTGGGTGATGTATAATTGCATTGTTGGTGTTAGGAAATAGCATATGAAACAAAAAATAAGTTCCAGCCCTTTTGTGAATTTAGTGTTGGGCTAAAAAAAAAAATCGTCTCTCAGACAAATTTGTATAATAGTCGTTTCTACTTTATGGTTGGCCAGAATGCATTATATTATGTTCTGTCATTACTATAGGCTGTAATAAGTTAATGGTGGATAAATGCACACCTTCAGCTGCCCCTTACTGTAATTATAATTTGTTGTGGTCTATGCCAGGTTTGCGCCATGCGTTTCCTCCATCGTGAACTGTAAAATGCCTCAGAATATTGGGCTGCACTTGCCTCTGTCCGTTTGTTTCCCAGCTGCCTGGCCATAAAGAAAATACCTGGAACTGCAGAGGTTACAACAACAGACACTGTTATGAGGAGGATATTATTCTTGAATCCAGTAGAATAAGAGATGTTGATGGAAATGAGGGACCTGATCCACTTGACTTCACACAGCCAGTCGTATGCCTGCTGTGTCAAAGCTGCGAAAGCATCTTCAAGAATGCAACACACGATTGGAAATCATTATCGGTCGTGCACGACTGCTTGTTGCAAATGTAGACTTTTGTTCTGAGGCAAATGGACCGATCAAGCAAGGCAGCTTGTGTTTTGAACATTTGAATGTTTAGTTGTCGTTTAAAGGCTGGGCTGAATTATTCTGTTGCTAAAGTTGACACCTTTGCCGTGATGTATTGTCTTTTCATTTAATTTCACCGTTCACAGCATGGCAAATGTGTTGCTTTATAGGAACTGCAACATTTTAAATTGGTCATGCTGCCGGCTGCGTTATTTTTCACTTTTGTAGGGGGTTTGTTTTCTTAATTTAAGTAGTAAGTAAAAGTAAGTTATTGGTTTCTTGATTTAAAAAAAATCATTTGAATAAGATGGCTGCTTTGTTGTGTCTGTGGCTTAAAATTCAGCTATAGGAGAAACACATTTTTCGCTAAGCAAAGTGTTACATTTTCAGTGACATGACCACTTGACATTCCAGATTTGAACCACCATTTCTATCCAGTGAGGGTTTGTTTAAAATTATCATCCCGCAGTACAAGTAAAAAAAATGCGGTCTCTGTCATGTATTGTAAATTATTTAAATGTTTTTGGGTCTTCATCGGAGTGAATTAGTTTCCCTTGGACTCAAATTATACAAAATAAAGAGTCCACGCCGATCTGACACTTAAATAAATTAGTTCAGTATAATCCACAAGAACATAAATTTGTTTTAAATTTCCTCATTTAAAAGTTGCGAGTAACCTATTTGGTTTTACCCCGTGGAAGAAACCTGCCCTCATCAATCTACATTTCAAGCCCAAAAAAGTGGTTTTGTGTTTCCATAGCTTTAGATTTATGCATCCTTAAAATTCCTTTAGATTTGTATTGTTTTCAACTACAAATGTGTTATTGTGAGAATGTAAAAAAACGGTCTGGTTTCACGTCTTAAGTGAATGGCCACCACCGAAGCCACAGTTCAGTGACATCTCAGTAAAAGTTGCGATGTGGAATTGAGCTTGTTGTGAAAAGCTCATGGGAAATCTTTAATGTTGGTGACTTGATTGGTGTTTTGTTGTGCCGACTGACGCAGTGAGTGAATGCTTTTCATTTAAATCCTGCTATTTTAATTTTCTGCCTCTGCAAAATGCTACTTTTTTATCCATCGGTGACAAACACGAGGACTGCTTGTGATCTTATAAAAGACACGCTTATAGAGTCGGTAGTTACCTTTTGGATTTTCTCCGTTGTGCATTGTTATCGCTTAATTTGGTGTCTGGTGGGTTTTTGACGTCTTTATGATGATTTGGGGTTTGTTTTGAAGGGGCTTGAATGGGTGATCAAGATTCATCTCACCCAAAAGTGGCTTAATAAAAACTAGGGTTGTTAAAATTGTGTTTTTGTTTTTACATTAATTATTGGTACACCCCCTCCCCGGTAAAAACCGGTTTGCCTCGTGAAGCAACGTCTCGAGAAAAAACACAACCTCGTCACCATTTTATTTAAATTGAGAAACGGCGTCAGCTGCGGAAGTGAGGATCGTTGGCACCGTTGGATTTGCTATCCAGGGGTTGTCGGTTCGATTCCATCTCCCCGCCCCGCCGCGACAGTTGAAACAATGGAGCAGGTTTCTTAAAACTACCCTCCCCTCCTCGTTCCCCTCGATGTGTACACCGCAGCCAGCTGATCGCCAGGTCACGTGTGGTGGGATAAAGTGTGGGTACACTCGCCTTCCTACTAAAAAAACATACGTTTGCTGATTCCTAGCTTTCAGAACCATTGTTCGAGCCTCAAATCGGTTACCGGTTTACTGGTTACCATTTGACAACCATGATAAAAACATCGGTCTCTTACGCATTGTAAATACACACTCTGGATTCTTCGACTTCAAAGAAAGATACACCTTGATAATAGGTTTTTCCCTTTTCTGGCAATAAAACATGTGTTAAGATGTTAAAACCCCAAACTGAAACCTTTGCAAGGAACTATGTCTGCAGTAACCACACGTGCTTATACTCTGGTGTGGACCAATGAGTTTCAAAGACGATGCTCATACTGTCAGAGCATGTTTGTTTGTTTGCATGTTCACCACGAGTATATGTGGTTATGCAGACATAATCCCTTGCAAAGGTTTCAGTTTGGTGTTTTAACGTCTTAACACAGCTGTTTTATTGCCAGAAAAGGGAAAATCCTATTATAATTTAATACTGGAAAAGGAGGTCCCATGAAAGATACACCTTGGCAACAATGAGACCCAATATGTTTTCTGGACGTACTTTTGTCAGGATAGTGTAATTTATTCTGGAAGGCCTCACTGAGACTCAACATGTCTTTTTTTCATGGTCCTGTATTTAGATGTTCATTCAGAACCAGTTCAGATATTACTCCCCATGACTGCTGTGAGTTGCGGCCAAACTCAGGTTTCCAATTGTATCGTTCATTGCACAAACCACTGCACAACCACTCTATCATCACTACTTATAAAACATCTCCTTTTTGGCTGTGTCATCAGGTTGCCCGATAACTGTTAAGCACCATCAAGGTCCACATTTGCCTAAATTCAAAAACATTACTCGCACATGACTGGGTTGGGATTACACATGGCAAGCATCGCCCCCTACTTGCCTGGAGGTGGTGGCACACGCATGTAATCCAGCACTGGAGGCGAGGGTTGGTGGATCACACACATGTTGCCAAACTTCCCTTCTGCCGTTGAGGTGTCATACTCTGGCTCACCAGGAGGTAGTACAGCAAGTGTGGACTCGTTTCATCTGCCTTGTCTACGGTGGCTCCGTTTTTTTTTTAATGCATGATGAACACTCAGGAATTGGCTGAAAATATTTTCATCTCTATGCTCCTCCGTGGTAGCAGATTGTGCAGCGTTATGCAATGCAGTTGCATTAATTTAACAACCATGAAGCTACTGTATAACATCGCAATATTATTGCAGGCCAGGTGGTGCGGTTCAAGTTGTTTGAGATGTGATGTAAGGCGCTCAGAGTTTTAGGCATTTAAGGACCATACACATTTGAAAGATTACTATTATTTATATAAAACATTTTTTTAGTAAAGACATGGCCAGATTTTTTTTCGAAGGTAAATCATCGAAAAGACAAATTAAGCACGGGCATGTGAGTACAACTATTTTTTTTATCGTCAAACCCTGTGTAGTTATGAGCATAATTTGTTTGTAACGATTGAGAAGCAATGGGGATGCAAGGCTGCTGTCAAGAGTTAAGAACCACGAGTCTACGGCAATGTACCAGCGCCCACTTTTCGCAAGCTCTTCTTGCATGGGGGCGCGCGGAGGCACCGATGCATCGGGGTGGTTGTATTTGCTGGCCACAATGAGAGGCGGGGCGGGGGGGGGGCGGGTACTTGCTGCCGCGCCAATGCGCTCAGCCTGTCCAGTCGTCTTTCCCTCCCCCCTCCTCTGTGCCACAATGGGGGAAGACCCGGGCAGGGAGGGCGCGTTGTCCACCTCAGGTGTGACACCCAAGCGGTTGAATTGTAAAGGAGGTGTGGGCGTTCGGCTTCTGTAAGACTGCGGCTGCTGACAGCACGCGCTTGGGCACCATTTTCTGCTTATATTTTTTTTATATATATATAAAGCACGTGGCACGCCAAGAAGAAAAATAGCAAGAAGGGTAAATGTGGTGCCACGACCGTGGAACAACTCCGCAAGTGACGCGATTCCCACCCGGCCCCCGCACTAAACACACACCCGCACGCAGTGCACCCACGCCGTGTTCTGGCGGGGGATTGCCATGGCACTTCGGGTTTTAATCCGAAGGGCCCCTAGAGGGAGAGTGTCCCACGGTTTCCCGGTGCCGGGAGTTTGGCCGACCCGCACAGGACAGGTTACATTGCGGTGCCCCTGAATTGGCTTAAATTTGTCTGGGCGTAGAAGGAAAAGGTTCACTGGGCCAACCGCAATGAGTTACTCACGACACTGGGAGAGGCTGAGGGTGGAATATTAGGCAAAAAGAGCAGACCCGTAGACTAGAACTACTGGGCACAGGAGAACAATGGGCGAGCGGAGCAGCAGCACTCCCCCATGGGAGAAGAACTAAAGGAGCGGCAGCACAGGTAAGCGCCCGATTGGCTGCGTGGTACGACGTCACCCTGGGCATTTGAAGTTTAGAGCATAAAAAGAGGAGCCAGGGGACGATGTCGCTCTCTTGGCTTCAACCTCCGGGCGGTCAAGACCCTCTTCCTGCCGTCCTGCCACTCACAGCATCTGTGTGATGCCAGCGAGTGCTGCTGCGAGACAGTGATAGGCCAAGTCTTCCCTCGTCCTCCGCCCTCCGACTTTCTCAGCATCCGTGGGACGCCGCGAGTCCGGCTTCGAGGTACGTGGTCGGACGTTTGTGTGACTGGGTTCATCGGCAGAGTAAGGCGAGGCTCTCCTCGCGAGATATTCCACCTCCAGGTGGGGTGTATTTGCGCCATTAATAAACTTTAGTTCAGAGTATCGGTGCAGTGTGATTTCTGTGTGTGCGGGTGGAACCTCGGCGCGGTGTTAGTAATTTGTATTAAAGCATACACGGCCGCCGACGCTCACGCGAGTTTGCGTGTGTGAAACACGAGCGCCTGCAGTGTGCCGCGTGAGTAATTAGGGCGGGGGCCGGGTGCGATAAACCCGCTCGCCGGCGTTTGCACAGCGGCAATGGCGTTAACGGCGAGGCGTGCGCGTGTATTCACACAGCCCTTTAGCATGATTAGCCTTTGTGTGCGAGCAGACAAGGGCTTAACCACCCGGAGGGCCGCACGCATATCAATACCGCCGCCGTCCCGTTTTCTTTAGCGCTCACCTTTGCGCTAAAGACGCGTCTGCAGGGGCGCGCGCGCGTGCACGCCTCCGCGTTCGCTCTGTGTGGTGGTGTACGTGGGCGTGTGCGGGATAACCCGGGGCGGTGGTGAGCCAGCCGATTACCGATGTCCTTCAGAGAGAGCGCAGGGGGGGCGATCACCCGATCGGCGGGGGCCCGGCGAGGAGGAGGGGGGAGCGGAGGGGGTGGACGTCGCTCCCCGCCTGCTCACGGGGAGCGGGGAGGCGGGCGTCGGCCCCCACGTAAATGATGCTCCCATCCTCAGTTGAACTTAAAAACAAATATCGATTTATTTTTTGTCGTTTTAACTAATAATACTTTTTTTTTTTTAAAGGATGACAAGATTAATAATCTGCTACACAAATCGTGGGTATAGAGATGAAAGTGAGAGGAGGCGGGTGATGGTGATGCGTCAGGTGGCAGGGGTTGGGCATTGAGTACTCGCCTCCAAAAAGCCGCCTCTGCATCACCTTTGTAACCCCCACGGGCGATGACGCTTCTCCTTTCGTATAGCTGTCACTCATCTGTTTTCAATAACGTATCCCTCTACGACTTCCTGTCCACATCCTTAAAACCTTAACCATCCTTCCCCTTCTTAACCTCACCCCCTCCATTTCCCTACAGCTCCCTTCCTTGCCATCCCTTCCCCTCCCCAACACTCAAACCCCATCCCTTGTCCCCATCAGCCAATAACTAATGTACAATGTATAATTATTGTAAAGCGCTTTAACAAAAGCGCTCTGTAAAATCCTAGATAAGATAATATGCAGAGCAATGGGATAACGCTAAAATGTACCAAATAACACCGTCCTGTGGACGCTGGAAACGACGAAGGCCAAAAAACACTGGCTTTAATTACCTGGGATTTTAATTCAGGAACTCGGTGATACAAGCATCCACACATCCACCGCAACAATTCGTTATATCGGACAGCTTAAAAGAATAAGTGACCTGCTATTACATCTCAGTTGCTATTACCGGCTCGTTAATACCGCTGTACACCCTTTATCACATTTGTTACGGATTTTCATTGGAAAAAATGTCAGCTTGATATTGGTAGTTGCACAGAGAGGTACAGTAACGAAGGCAACATTAATACACATGAATGATAGCATGGAACCTTGAGAACCCTTGGGAATGTAGGTGCTACATTTATACAAAATAAAATGTGCGGAGATGTTGCAAAAGTTACGTGCTTGATGTGAAGAGTGTGGTTGCTAACGTCTTTATTTATAGTTCAGTTTAGATTATGAGTGGTGGAGTGGTAGCATAATGGTTCATGGACTGCACCATTGAAGCTGTAAACATCAGTTTGATTCCTGGCCATGACAAACATCAGTGGCAGGTGATATCTGAACGAGTCCCTTCTTCACCTAGCTACACTGGCCGGCAAGGTGAAGTATGGTCAATTAACCCTGACACAGAGTGGAGAGGCTTTCTCCTAGCAGTGGATTAACAAAATGGTGGATATATTCGGTTGGCATGCTGAGCACAGGCAAATTCTATTTCAGTATACACAGGTGCGACTGATGTCTTGTGCCATGCACAGCCTTATGATCC